GGCCTCCCCCGCATCGGGTGGAACTGGGGGGTGGGGGGGGGGGGGGAAGGGTAGGTGATAGCCACATAACCTCGGTGATGAACGTCCGCAGCGCTCTCTCAAGAACAGCGAAAGGAATTGTGACCATGTACCAATGAAGAGAGGAGAGGTTTCGCCCATCGCTTGTACCGCCTGGCACAAAAGAGAGTACCGTAACGTTGCGAGTCAGCGCACAAGGGGTGCGATCGATTTTCAAAGCGTAATTTCTCCACAGCCAGAAGGGTGCGAGCGCCAACTGATGCTTCTCAGGAAAGCTCTCGATGAGATATTTCCAAAACCGCACTTTTCGACAGTGGTAAAACCTCCTGGATGTGGAGAAATTGCGCCTTGAACATCGCTCGCACCCCTTGTGCGCTGACTCACAACCTTACGGTATGCAAAGAAAGAAAGAGAGGGAGACATAAAAGCTGGCTTGCTTGCATTGAAGAACCGCATACAGAGTGGTCCCCCCGGCACTCATAGGGTGTTTGGCGTATGTCCCCTGCTTGGCCATCTTGTATGCCATCAGGAAGCACTGCTGTGTCATGACCAGGGTGAAAACAGCATGGGCTCCGCCAATACATGCATCCTAACCTCAGGGGGCGTGTTGTCTTATGTAACCCGGGTGGTATTTTGGCTCCCCGTTCGAGCTCTAAAACTATTAGCACCGGGTGTCTTATCTCAAGTGGGCGTGTTATCTTGTGTCATACCATATACGGTAGTCAGCGCTGATCTCGGCGTCTAAACGCCACAAGGAACAGATGGCAACACACGGAGGAAAAGACGACCCACTCTGTCGTGGAAGGCACAACACCAACCTGGTTGATGATGCCATCCCACCCTAGCCCGGCAGGCTCGAGGAACTCCCTCTTCTCCTCGAAAAAGCAACCCGTGCCGATGGAGACGATCATCTCGATAGGAACTCCCGGGAAGGCGTGCTTGATTCATGTGGAGATTCGTGGTGATGGGATGGAAAGCGGAACATGAAAAAAATGAGAGGGAGAGTGGGCGGGGGTCGTTTGCAGGGGGAGTAAAATGGGGCGCGCGGGGGGGGGGGGGGGGGGGGGGGGGGGGCCACAGGGAGGGGTTTTCCCCCAAAAAAGGGGTTTAAAAAAAGAAGGCCCCCCCCCCCAGGAAAACCCGAACCATAGGGCCCCCCAAAATTTTCCCCATTTGGGGGGGGAAAAGAAATCCCGGCAAAAAAAAAGGGGGGTTTAAAGGGCAAAAACCCATGGCCGGGGGGGGGGGTTTTCCCCCCCAAAATATAAAAAGGCCACGGCGGGGGGGGG